TGCAAGCCCAGTACGCAGTGAGTGACCGATCTCATGTAACGGTGGCCGAAATTCCGAAATGCTTACTTAGGCGGGACTGTTGTATTAAATGGCAAGCGGCATAATCCCAAGATATTTCGGAGGCATAATGCAGTTCTATTCGGCCACCTGCAAAAAATCATACTCGATACAACATGGTTACTTATGAAGTGTGACTTATCAAATACATTCTATAGAAAACATGCACTAAAATATGCTTTCACGTAATCATTTGGTAGGAAATCACGTCGTCTTCACCCGCGATCGCCTTTGTCACCAGCACGTCCCGCTGATCTCGTCTCCGGACGAGGACATAGTCCAGCAGGTGCCGCTGGCGCGACCGAGGATGCCTCCAGGTGGCCTTCTCTCGCTCCGGCAGACAGAAGAAGGTGTTCGTCAGGATGAGGCGGTGTTCTGCGCAGGTGCGGATAAGCAGCAGACCATTGTCGTTGGAGCCGCGGAGACCGTGGGGACCCAGCACTCCTCTCCAGGCAGTATGGTCTGTGCCGACGCGGACGTTGAAGTCACCAAGGACAATCAAGTTGTCCGCCTTCGACACAGTCGCCAAGAGGGCGTGCAGGACCTCGTAGAATTTGTCTCTGACGGCGTCGTGGTTGGTCATCGTCGGAGCGTAGGCGCTGATGATGGTGGCGAATTTGCCTCCCCAGAGAGGCAGGCGGAGGCTCATCAGACGATCGTTTATGCCCTGCGACAAACAGGGCAGTCGTCCCACGATGTCGTCCCGAATGGCGAAGGCGACACCCGCGTCCCGTCGCTCTGCCCTGGGTCGACCGCTCCAGAAGAAGGTGTAGCCGGCACCCACTTCCTCCAGTTGGCTTTGTTCGGAGAATCGGGTCTCGCTGAGTGCGGCGATGTCCACCTTGTAGCGCGCCAGTTCTCGTGCCACTAGCGCCGTCCTCCGCTCCGGTCGGTTGCTCCTCGGATTGTCTAAAAGGGAACGAACATTCCAGGCTGCCAGAGTGAGCGGGCTCACCCTGCCAGTCTGGTAACAAGGAGTGGGGCGACGGGAAGGAGATGGAGAAGAAGGTGACGAAGGAGAAGAATAGGCAGAGGAAGAGGAAGAAGAGGTAGGATGAGGAGAATGAGTATGGTTGCTGTTGTTATTGGTATTGTTGATGTTTTGATTTTGATTGTTTCGACCATGATTAGACGTCTGCGGCCCTGGCTGGCCTGGAGACGGCGTGGTACCCAGCAATGTTTAGGTCACCTTTTCTAGGCCCTTCCCCTCGTGGGGCTGGCAGTGCCATCCCATGTGCCGGTGTGGCACGGCCGAACTCCACTATGGGACCACGACTTCGGGTTGTAGTGGAGAGCGACTCGGATTCGCCGTAAGCCGCGGTCTCCGACGGCTTAGGTGGGCGCTTCAAGGCGATGTCGATGTGGAGATCCATCCCGTCACCGGCTGTCCAGCGGCGTGCAGGGACGAACCACGTCACGACGGTGCCGACGCAAGGTTCCATCCGACCTTCCATCCGGCGGAATCCCCAAACCCTGTGCACACGGCACAGCGCACAGGGCCCCCTCACCTGGTTTAGCCCGCCGGTCGAGACGGTTGCCCGGGGTGTGGCCGCTGAGCAGAGTCCAGCTACGTGGAGCCACAGGTGAGAGTTGAGTGCCAGCAAGTGGACGCTAGGCGCAGTCTCACCTGCAAGCAAGTGAGCGACCACCACGACCATTACGTGAACCCACCGCTGCCACCCCTACACCCCAGACAACTGGATACTTACCTGCTGGAAGGCAACCCGAACTGCCGAAGCCTGATCGAATGAATTACTGAAATGACTATAAATTATACTACTAACAGGATTTCAACAGATGCTTTTTTGGGCGTCCAACTTAGCCCATATGGAAATTTTCACAGTCCGAATGCGGTGAACAAAGTTTTTCGCAATTATTTCGCGAACACAATACCCTTTTCGCCTTTATGTTAGATTATTAGATTTCTGAATTCTCCACACTAAAAGTACAACCAAAAGTTTTGCAATTTAACTATTTTCCCTTATATCTGTACCCTCTAAATGGAGTTTTCAGGGCTTCTGTCGTTTACTCCAAATATACTGATTGATACTGACTGAAGTCTATCTCAATTTCCTCCTTGACGAACGACGCGGTTCTTTACAAAAACAACCTAATTCTATAAAATGCCGGTCGAAATAAGCAGCACAGATATCTGGGGCAAAGTACTAAAATCTACTTGTAAATCTTAAACCAGCATAAAGGCATTCATCCAACTGACACTAAAGGATATTTAAATAAACTATGGTTCAATGCGTTCTGAAACAGAAGAATATTGAAGTAATAATTAAAACGCTAATACGCCGGGACTCATATCAAGTTAGTAATCATGATTTTTTTATACCACGCAGTGCACGCTTATGTAAGTCTCCGTTCAAACAAAATTGCATATGCACAATATTGGGATGAAAATTGTTTAATAATCCTGGGTCAATTATTATCTTTGGTTTGAAAAGTATAGACTATGGACTCAAGCAATTTTGGGAGTGTATGGGGCCGTCCTTCATAATGCCTATTCGGAATCCGATGGCAGGTCTATTGTGCCAAGTTGCTCTACATGCAGATGGCTTAGCTAAGTCTATGTTTCCTGAGTTTCTGGGCGGAACATCTTAGAAATAAAGGACACTGTAGAAAACATGCTAATAGCTAACCTAGAAATGGAAATACTGCCAAAACATTCAATCACAAGCACACAATCTTAAAGATATTAGGCGAAGCTCGCATCTGGAAAGTCTTCTACCCGCTTTGCGTAGACTGCGACATCAGATTATACTCGATATGTTATTGTAAAATAAGTGATTACTGCGTGGTTTTCGAAGTTTTCAGCCGACCGTCGGAGAAACGATCTTGTGTTATCTCGTGAAATGATAACCGAGGTCTTCGATTAGGGAAGATTACTCAAGCAGGGTTGTGACACTAACTGTCGCGCAACATTATCAAAAGATATTTCAGTCACATCAGCAGGCCGGCTTTTAAGCGAGTCACTTTCTGGCCGATTTCAAGAAAAAGACTATGTTTCAGTCTCGTCAGGAGGTTGACTTTTCAACAAGCATTTTTTGCCGCCTTCAAGAATCATACTGCTTATGAAGTGACTACTTATAATGAGTAGGTGTGCTGACTCACGAAATGATAACCGAAATTCTGACGTGCTTTTTCGACTCATAAAGATGACGTAGATAGTTTTGTAATGCTAATAACCTTGGAGCACAACCCTATAATAATCTAGTTATGTTAGGATGCCAGCGTTTAAATGAACCCCTTTTTCCGGTCGTCTGCAGAGATTAAACTCCGCAAAAAATGACTACTTACGTAAATCGAACTTTCCTCTTCGATTTTCAACGCCCTCATAAAATCAAGTATATTTCATAGAAAATACATAACAGTATTCATTCGCTATCCATTTCGTGGGAAATAACGTCCTCTTTAACTCTCACTCCCGAAGAAAGGCTACAATTTGGATTTAAAATGCTTTTATTTACGAGATTTTTCAAGACCCCGAAATGCTCGTTCATAAAACATCGTGTCTCTGCATATACAAATGAATCTTTATAGTTTACGATAAAGTTCGAATCCACTGCTAAGTTTTATGAACCCTATACAGTCTTCTTTAAAAATGTTTATTCGTTTGCTCATTTGACAGAGAATAACTGCTTCTACAAATCTTATACATGAGGGGCAAGTATAATTCGGTGCTGTGATAGGAAATACGAAATGTCACACAGGATTAGTGTCGGACCGACTGCTTCCCATTTATAAGATTTATTTGTTACCGTAAACTCAATCGCAAACATGGGCACCGGGAGATTTATACACGGGTTTAGTTGATCATTCAGCTTTTTCGTTTTAATGTTGGGTTTGCTCAAGTTGCTGCTCCTTCCCGGTGTTGAATCTCATATAAAAAACGAAAAGTCGCATGGGATTGGTGTTTTCGACATGTGTTGACTTCTGGACAAAGTGCGAATCCGCTTGTCTGCTCGAGGCTCCAAGCCCAGTGCCTTAATGGGCGCAATTAACCACTTAGCAGCCCAGATGTACAATTGTGGTAGCCCTTTGCTGTATTTCTGTTTATACACTACTTTTCTACGGTTATTCTGCTTGTCATGCATTTCCTCAACTCACGTTTGTCCACTTTTGCTTAAGTTGGTGTTTATGTAAAGGTTACGCGGAGACTCGAACTGGGTTAAGTTTCGGTTTAACTTACTGACTTTTTACCCATTGCCTTTGTCATTCTCTGGGCGGCGTTGACAGTCAAGTCCGTTCTGGCGCGGTCGTTTTGCTTGGTTTTTCTCAACTTGGCCTTAGCACGGGATCATGTTATCGATTGGCTAGGCCCGCTAAAGTGGTGACCCTGAACGAGAACGCGCCTCGCTTTTTCACGCGTTTTCTCTCGCAGACAGTACCCAGCCAACCATTGTGTAGTGCCGTATTGGTTCTTTCTTCGCGTGCACTTCCAATCAAATCTTGCCACAGCCACAGTAATGACGGACGCTCCTGCTAGTGGATTCGATTATATTAGCACGGTAACACTGTCTCTACCAGACTTCTGGACGAATGCACCTGAACTTTGCTTCCGTCGCATCGAGTCAAGTTTTCACTCTGCGCACATTACCAAAGGGGTTACCAAATTCCATAGACTGGCTCAGGCTTTGCCGATATAGGTTCTTTCTCAGGTACAATCATTGATCGATAGTCCCCCAGCCGACCAACCATGCACTCAGCTTAAGGAAGCACTCCTTCGAATTCATGTCTGATCGCCAGCGGTATCACCAGCAAATTCTCGAGGGGTGTTTGGATGACTGAAAGCCCACCGAACTTCTTAGAAGGATGCAAGGCCTTTGCGGTGAGCTACAAATTGATGACAAACTGTTCAAGGAAATGTTCCTGGAGCGTCTGCCAGCCGATGTGCAAACCATTCTGGCATCTGGCTCAGAAGATCTCTCGGTCTCATGACTAGCCGTGATGACGGACAGGATGTTGGAGGTGCAGCGGTTCCAATCGCCCTCGGTCGCACAGCTATCCATTTCCTCGTCACCGCCGCCAAGTGAGCAGATTGCGACGCAGATGGTTGCCATGGCAGAAAAGATGAAGTCCCTAAAACTCCAGCTTGCGCGTCTTACGTCTTGTCGCTCATCTAGCCGTTGTCGTTCTCGCTCGCGATCTCGGACTTCCGATATTGGCAAGATCTCATTTCGTAGCCGAAACTGTTAGGAGTTAAAGTAGGGGTTAGGGGTTGGGGTTACGGGTTAAGGGTAGGGGTTAGGGTTAGGGGTCAGGGTTAGGGGTTAAGGTTGGGGGTTAGGGGTTAAGGGTTAGGGATTAGGGCTAGGGTTTGGGAATTAAGGTTAGGGGTTTGGGTTAGGTACTTGGCTTTAGAGGTTAGGGATTAGGTTTAGGGTTCATGCTGGAGCTTGTATACTGCAGGTACGGCTGTGAAATGAGATCCGGACCCGATATTTGTTGGTAAAGGCCCTTGGCTGTTCCTCGCCCTGGTCTTTTAAGCCGAAACAGGAAACCCAGTCAACCAGAGAATAGACGCAACCGTTTTCCCTGGCACTTCCGGCCCTGGGCACACTTTCTATGTTTGCGACAGTGTGACTCGCAGAAGTTTCCTTGTGGACACTAGAGTCCAACTCAGCGTTGTCCCCACAACTCCAGCCAATCATCGTTTCCCCGACGCTGGTCGTCACCTTCAAGCTAACAACTGTTCCCCGATTCCCATTTTCGACAGTCTGTCGCATATCCTTAACACTGACCTTCGTCAGTCTTTCTCCTGTATCTTTGTGGTTGCTGATTTTCCTCATGCAATCCTCGACTCGGACTTCGTAGCCGAATTCAACCTTCTTGACAACTGCCGACGATCCCGGCTCCTCGGCTGCACAACTGGTCTCTCTGTACATGGTTTAACTCTCTTCACTTCCTCCTACAACTGATCGGTCTTGGATACAGGTACTGCTTGTTCCAGTCAGGAACTGCTGCTTCAACACCCGAACATCGCTAACCCGCAGTTCCGCAGTGGCGAGGTCCTGTCTGATGTTGCGCATCACATCCACAACTCAGGTCCTCCTATGTTCGCTTGACCTAAACGACTAGCACCGGAGCGTTTTCAGGCCGCGAAGGCGGAGTTTAAACACATGCTGCAACTGGGAATCATTCGACCGTCCAAGAGCCCCTGGGCGTCTCCATGCATATGGTGCCCTAAGCGACATCAGGTGACTGGAGACGCTGTGGCGACTATCGTGCCCTTAAAAACACCACACTTCCCGATCGGTATCCTGTGCCTCATCTTCAGGATTTTGCTGGAGCCCTTTTCAATAAAGCGGTTTTTCGAAGACTGACCTGGTGCGTGACTATCATCAGATTCCGGTCGCTTCTGAGGACATCCACAAAACTGCCGTTACCACGCCCTCCGGCCTTTTCGAATTCATCCGCATGCCTTTCGGTCTTCGTAATGCCGCCCAAACGTTCCAGAGATTCATCGACCACATCGTACGTGGACTACCGTTTGTTTACACCCACGCCGATGACCTCTTGATGGCCAGCTGGAATGTGGAAGAACGCAAAGAGCACCTGGCCTTGGAGTTTGACCGCCTTAACAAATTTGGCGTTATCATCAACCCCCCAAGTGCGCGCTGGGTGTGCCTCGGCCATCATGTCGACTCTGAAGTTTTGCGTCCTCTCCCATCCAAGGTTGAAGCAATCTGGTATTTCTCTCAACCAACTTCCAAGCGTCAGTTGCAGCGATTACTCGGCATGGTCATTTTTTACCATTGGTTCCTACCGAACGGTTCTGACCTCATGCTGCCGCTCACCAACATACTTTCTGATCCTAAAGGTCTCCTCGAGCTTACTGGTGGAACACTGAATGCTTTTGGGATGATCATGAATTCCCTTGCCGACGCCACCTTGCACCCGCCTTCCACTCCCAAAACTCAGCTGTCCCTGATGGTAGATTCTTCGAACGTAGCCGTAGGTGTAGTCCTTCAACAACACTTTGCTGGAAGCTCTTGCCGACTGGGACCTGCTACAGTACCTTCGTCCGCGAACTACCTGCAATTTACCTAGCTGTCAAGCATTTCCGGCATTTCCTTGAAGATCGCGACTTCACTATTTTCACGGACCAAAAGCCGCTGACTTTTGCTCTGCGTTCCCATTCCGGCAAGTACATTCCGAGACCGATCGCTCACCTGGACTACATCTCCCAGTTCACCGCCGACATCCGCCACATTGATGGCACGAAGAATGAGGTGGCTGATATGCTCTCCAGGCCCTCACTGCCTTCCCTCCAACTCTCACATTGAATCGACCTTGGTGCCATTGCGGCTGAGCAACAACGAGTCGGTTGTCCTACCAACGGATCCGTTAGTGGTCTCTAACTCAAAGACGTTCCTCTGACCACCGACTCTGGTACCGTACTTTGTGACGTCTCGACTCCTTTTCATCGCCCTTTCGTGCCCGCCTCGATGCGTCGAGCTGTATTTCAATTGCTGCATGGACTCTCCCGCCCTGGGATCCGAGCCTCTCAAAAGCTCCTCGCGGAAAGGTCTGTCTGGCCTGGCATGAACAAGGACGTCAAAGCTTGGGCCCGGTCGTGTCTGAGCTGCCAGCGCAACAAGGTGCAGCGTCACAACAAGTCCTCACCAGGCACTTTCCCCAGTCCCGACGCACGGTTCAGCCATGTGCATCTGGATGTCGTAAGCCCCTTGCCTCCATCCAATGGCTATACTCACCTCCTTACCTGTGTCGATCGGTACACCCACTGGGCTGAAGCCATTCCCTTTCCGAATGCGCAGGCTGAAACAATCGTGAAGGACTTCGTCAGTTGTTGGGCCGCCACGTTCGGTGCCCCACCCACGGCTACGACTGATCGTGGTGCCCTGTTTGAGTCTGCACTCTTCCAACCACTAGTCAATTTTCTTTGCTGCACACATAGTTGGACGACAGCTTGCACCCAGTGGTATGGTTGAGCGTTTCCGTCGCCAGGAAAAGACCGCCCTGCGTGCCGTAGAAGACCCAGGAAACTGGTCAGACAACATGCCCCTTGCACTCCTCGTAATTCGTGCAGCTCTGTAGTCGGATCTGGACCGTAACGCAGCTGAATTGGTTTTCGGCCCTACCTTCCGACCGCCAAGCGAAATAGTCGTCCCAATTTCTCATGGTGTCGACGAGACTCCTATCCATTTTTTGCACCGTCTGCGGCAATTCATGCGCTCGCTTTCTCCTGTTCCATCTCGAACTCCAACGACCAAGTCTTATATCGAAAAAGACTTGGACAACTGCACTCATATGTTTGTCCGATGTGGCCGTGTGCGCCAGCCGCTGGAATCACCTTACGAAGGACCGTTCCGTGTGCTCGCACGCAACACCAAGACCTGCCGGATCGTTCGCCGTGACAAAGAAGTTGTGGTCAGTGTCGTTCGGGCTAGGCTGCTGTTGCAGAGGAGCCGCCGGACCTGTCATAAGGACTGTACTGACCTACTATCCCGTGATCCTCGACATTACCCACCCCTTGCTCCTCTACCTTCCCAACCCTCTCCTACCCCACTTTGCCCTACCACCTCAAACCGTAACTCTTCCAATGCCACTGGCATTAAATTTAAATTTAAATTTTATTTATTTAATGCCAGTTTACAGGCATTGTCAAGGGAAGCGATTAAACATAAATCCGACCAGCAGTGAAAAAAACTCCTGAGCTAAAGGGATTAAAATACAGTTGATGGTGGTTTTTATGGTTTGGAGGGCTCAGGAGAAAAAACTGCCGGCGGTGGTAGAATATCGACCGTCAAGAAGTGGGGAGGTTGCACGGTATCGGGGATTATCGGACGTCCAATTCCTTTCATGAAGTTGGGGATAGCCAAAGTAGAGGCGTTGAGGAACAGCTGGTGAGACCGGCCATAGTGTTCAGAGACCACAAACGCCATCGCTACGGTACAGTCGATCAGAGTTTTCAGCACCCAACATTTGTGGGAGCTTTTCTGAATGCAAAAATCGAGTAATAGTTCTCTTAAATAAATGATAATTTTGCAGAGTTTTCACACTCATGGGTAGTTTATTCCAAACAGCAATTGCATTTACAGAAAAGAACCGACGATATTTAACAGTACGTGCCAGAGGCAGAAATAAGAAGACCTCACGGTGACTGTTACGTCGTGGGTGGATATGATGTCTTAAAGAGGTGAGTGGGTTAAATGTGTGATTATATAAGAGTTTAAATAGCAAAAATAGTCCCTTTTGTAATCTACGGAACCATAAAGGATCAAGGCCCGTAAGCCTCCAACGTTCTTGGTAAGACAAATGTCGGTGTTCCGGGGTTAAAATTCTCTTGGTAAAAAAGTGTTGAACGGATTCTATTTTCTTTCGCTCAGTAGCACGCATGAGGCTAAATGAAACCGAACAGTATTCCAGACCAGGTCTAACGTACATATTGAAAAGGCGCATTCTAATGTCCCTAGTTTTAAAATTTCGGAGGATAAACCCGGTCGTTCTACGTGCTTTGGAGACTATCAAGGCACTGTGCTCCGAGAAATTGAGACTCTTGGAGTATGATATGCCCAGATCCTTAATAACCCTGGGCACATTTATGGAGTGACCTTCAATAATTAGTTGAGGTTGGTGGTCGTCACCAAACACCATGACTGAGCACTTATGCCAAGAAAGAGAAAGGCGCCATGTGCGGCACCACTGGGCGAAAGCCTGTAGGTCGATATTTAGGAGCTCAAGCACGATGTCCCGATCTGCCGGCTTATATCGATATGCAACGTTAAGATCATCGGCATACATGATAGGCTTACTATTCTGAAATAAATCGGGTGCATCATTAACGAAAAGGCAAAATAAAAGCGGGCCGAGTAACACTACCCTGAATGACTCCACTCCTCACACGTGTGGGGTTGGAGATGGTATTGCAAATCTTAACTCGTTGTGTGCGAGTGCCCAAATAACAGGATATAAAATTTAAAAGTTTGCCACCTATTCCGAAAGAGGACGATTTCAAGAGAAGAAGAGCATGGTCAACACGATCAAAAGCCTTAGTGAAATCGAAATATACAGTGTAAAGTGCAAAACCATTGTCCCTAGATTGGAGAACATAGTCAAAGAAAGAGAGTTGGCAGGTGTCACAAGATCGAGCTTTGAGGAATCCATGCTGCGCAGCACTTAGTAGGTTATTCACTGTTAAGTGACACATCATCTTATCCTTGATCAATGTCTCTAAGATCTTCGAAACTGCGGGGAGGGTGTTTATTGGCCGAAAGTCATCAAATGATGTAGATTTGCCGTGCTTAGGAATGGGCAAAATGTGTGATTCCTTCCACAAGGTAGGATAAGTTTCACTTTCAAGAGCGAGATTAAATATCTTGCATAAGAGGGATGGGAAAATCGTGTTTGCATGGGCCTTTAAAATGCTTACTGGGACACCATCAGGGCATGGACTTTAAGATTGACGAAAACGCCGAATCGCAACAGTCACATCCCACATTGTTCCAGCCATTGATCCAGCCATTGTTCCAGCGATCGCTTCTTCTTCTGATCAACTAGTTCCTGGAACTCGCATCTTCGCTTGTATCGGCCGCTGGCATTCGCACCAGTCGTAGCGGCCGTTGCGTCCACTTCCCCGACCGCGTTATCACTCAACGGCATTAACATCGCATTAAACTTTGGCGTCGTTATGACAGCAGCCTTTGGTCTAGGCTGGGGGTACTGTGGTAGTCATTCGTCGTGTTTTAAATTATGCACTACTTTTTATAGTTATTCTGCTTGGTAAGCATTTCCTCAACTCGCATTTATTTACTTTTGTTTAAGTTGGTGTTTATGTAAAGGTTACGCGCAGACTCCATCCGGCGTGAGTTTCGATTCAACTTAACTGACGTTTCAGCCATTGTCTTTGTTATTCTCTGGGCGGCGTTGACAGTCAAGTCTGTTCTAGCACGGTCGTTTTGCTTGGTTTTTCTCAACTTGGTGTTAGCATGGGATCGCGTCATCGATTGGAACGTCTCAGTAAACAATCATTTCTGTCTGGTAATTAAAACAGCGCGAGTAGTGCCAACGCATAAAACTGGTGCCAGCACTTTTGCCACGACAAAAGCAGTTACGGCAGTCGAAATATAATTCAGACTGCGACTGCCTCTTCAGGTCAGATGTCTAAATGAGACGAAATGCCTACTCTCTCGCCCGCGCCCTGCCACACCACGCGGCACGCCCAACAATTGACAGCAGCAGCAGTTATTGTTTTCGCTTCCTGCTGAGCACAGGAAATGCTTGAAAACGAGCACGCAGCCTTTATGTCAAACTGCCACTTACTTCAAGTGACATCTTATCGCTGCGTTTATTTTAAGCTCGACCTGCTATCTACAGGCCCGGCCTGTAGGAAAACAAAACGTGTGTCAGAGCCTAAATCTGGATTCATGAGTATGGGGGAGGAGGTGGGTTTTTTTGCGGGTTCGCGTCTTGTCTAATATGGCGGCCGCGGTAGTGCAGACATTCGTAGGGTGTTCAAAGTAAATTGACGGAGGAATTTGTGTGATAACTACTGCTTAATCTTCCCTAACGCTACTTCGTCTGCGTAAAGTACGTCCGAGTAATTTATGATCAGAAATGCGCTTGCTGTGCGGTTCTTCCGAAAATGATGCCATCGAGGATTTTGTTCTGGGGTCTTCAAAAAAAGTTAATAGTTGTTAATGGCTAGGTTTTTGCGCTACCTTCAATCCAGCACTCATTCGTATAATCCACTTTCAAATTGAACATTCCCAAGAGGTCAGGGTTTTTGTATTCCACATCCTCAAATTCATCCTGCATTTTCATTAGTTTCGCTGTCTTCGGCCTACCGAATCAGAGATTGGCACCAAAGATTTTCTTTGCAACTTTCGTATACACCGGACTCACTACTTGATACTGAGTAGGTTATAATATTAGCAAATAAACTGAACGCTGCTTCTAGTCTGTAGCTCACCAACGTTCCCACATATGAACTGAGCTGAATTGAACTGCAGTGAAGTTTAACGTATTATTGGAACCGGCTGTCACGGGAGTATAGTTTAATGCCAGAAATCTCTGATGAATTCCTTCTGGTGCTTTCAGTTCAAGTAGCCATTCGTCACTTGACTGCTTCCGAGCACCCTTCATTCTCTTTAAGAATCAAATAGCCGAGCTCGCTTCCGAACAACTGGAAGAGATAGATCCTCAGTTTGATCGCAAGGAGTAACAGTGCCTTCTCAAATATACTGGCATTCCTTTAAACTAACGCGACATTAGACATGGCCGTACGTCATGTCGACCACTGCGTCTACTTTAATCTCCAGTGGGCCTAACTAGGACTGCCCACCAATGCGCGGACGAAATGCTGGCCAGCCAGCTCGAATGCAGCGATGTAAGTAAAAAATACCCTTCTGAACTCTCCCAATGCGCTGGAAGCTTTGGTAACCAACGGACGGCGAATGCAAATTGTGTCCACTGCCCACGCACATCACCAGACCGCATAGACCGGTTTATTCACATAGGTATCCGCGGCAACTGAATTCACAGCAATGTCGTCATGCCCAGCATTGAAGAAGGAGACACGATCGTTGGGACAAGAGCTTTATTAGCCCGACTTTTTGGATTCCTGTTTGACACCAAGTGTCGTCTCTCTTGATGGCCCACAGACCGCGGGAAGTGCTTTCCAGGGTCGAAGGTGATGCACTTAGAGTGCCCAAGGCCGACAAAGACCTGGTCATCGTGCCAGCGTACAAAGGACGCGCCACAGTTGTATTGGACAGGACAGACTACCTTCAAAAAGCCAAACGTTTACTGGAGGACCGACAGTTCTATGTCCCATGTGCAATGAACCCTTTAAAAGCGCTGACACGCGAAATGCATGCTACGTTGTTGGCCTTGGAGGACTCAGATGCAATAACACCGACGACAGACGCATGGCGAGACCCCAAGATACGGCTTTGGTCCAATTCTATGGAAGATGCACACAGACAGTGCTCCTCTTCAACCCATCGTGTCGCTCAAAGGAACTCCAAAGTACGGACTGGCTAAGTGGCTGTTCCGGCGTCTCAAGTTCCTGACCGCTGAGTCCGACACTACGATCTCTTCGTCAGCAAAATTCCTGGAGAAACTCAAAGGGGTAAGCCTTCATCCAAATGAGGTCATGGTATCTTTTGATATTACATCCCTTTTTAATTCTTTTCTCCAGGACCTGGCGATCTAGAAAATCGAGCTGCTTCTACAAAGCAAATACGATGAAATGGAGAATCGTCTTGGACACACACAAGTCCTTCAGCTCTTGAAGCTCTGTCTCAGGATGTACTTCACGTTCGACGGGACAATCTACGAACAGGTGAAGGGCACACCAATGGGTTCACCGATTTCGGGATTCATCGCGGAGGCGGTCCTGCAACGGTTAGAGTCGCTGGTTTTCTAACACCACAGACCGAAATTATGGGACCGATATGTGGATGATACCTTCATCGTCAAAGAACAGAATCAACTGATGACATAAAAGGAGCATCTCAACGCCGTCTTCCCGGAAATTCAAGTTACGATGGAGGAGGAGGAGAACAACCAGCTGGCCTTCCTGGATGTCCTCGTATGCCGCAAAGATTGTGGTAGACAAAAAACAAAAGTGTTCAGGATAGCGACACATACGATGCAAGTACTGAACTTCAACAGTAACCGCCCAATCAGCCACAAACGCAGTTGTGTAAGGACGCTCTATCGGCGTGTCGAAACGCACTGCAGTGAGCCGGAAGACAAAATTGCTGAACTACAATACCTCCGACGGGTATTCAAAGGCAATGGCTACCCGCGCAACTTCGTCAATCGGTGCATACGCAAAAGGGACGAAAGGCCTAACCGCGCGGACACCAAATCTTGTCGGACGCTTCCGTATTGCAAGAACATTTCGGAAGCTGTCGGCCGCCTTCTCGCACCACTTGGGGTTGGAGTTGTACACAGACCGGAGGCAACCATCAGGCGTCGGGTAATGAAACCGAAAGACCCGCTGCCACGGCTAGAAACGTCTGGAGTCGTTTATCGGATCTGGTGCAGTTGCGGAGAAAGCAACTACGTCGGAGAAACCGGAAGACAGCTCCGAACGAGAATGGTCGAACAGGCGGCAGCGGTGCGCAGAAATGACGCCAGCTCTCAAGTCACGGCTCCTTTGACGAGATCCGGCCACACATTCAAATTTGACGAGGCCGAAATTCTCGCAAGAGGTGACTACAGCGTGAGCGGGGGGCTACTTGAATCATGGTTTACTGGCCCCCAGTCCATTAACAAGTGCAACGATCTTCCCCTTCCATACTCGGTGCTGAGACTTCGCCTAGGCGGAGTAATTAGCCATGCGGGGAGCGCACAGGTGAACACTTTTCCCAACACCGGGGTCGGTGCGTCAGATGGTCGAGCAATCATCCCACCAACATCCAACACACATGATGAAATTGCAGCAATTGGCTCTGAACCCATTCTGCCCTCAGTGCTACTATACATGCACATCGCGCATCGGTATGGTCGGTCACTTGTGGACCCATCGCTCAGAGACTGGCGAACAAATGCTTGGAGCGCTTACAAATACTACCGAACTCTATTTGAATTCCCAAAGTACCCACGCACATTCAACTATCACATGAGTCCACTCAGTCACCTGCACCTTCTTGAGACCCAGTAGGGAAACACCGTAGGTAAAAGCCCGTCAGCACACATGTCCTCAACGGTGCATGCGACATGCACGAACGCGTCCCCCATTGTCCACCACAAGCCTGAAATCGCACCTCTCATGCAAGTGGGAGTACTGTTCTTCGGCTCCTTCCCCACATGGCCCCACTGCTAATCTAACACATGCGAGATCCCATCAGACTGGTGTTAGCTGTGAGATCTACTGGCTCAATATTAGTACCAGTTAAATGGCCCACTCGGCCAGTCGAGTTGTGGGGGAGGAGAGCGTAAGGACGACTTTCGGAGCCCACTTCTCACTATGAGCGATCTTTCGTACTCGAAAGAGTTACGGCGCGTGGTTTGGAATATTGCCAACTGGGGACTCATCTCCGAACTCGCAGTCAGCCAACTCTGGTGTGGCCGACTGGTGGACTGAGAGCCAGACAGCAATAACTCATCCTGTGACAGTAGAAGTCGAACGCCTCTAAACACTGAGCCAAGGACTGGTTGTCCTTTCGGTAATACCATTCTGTCTATATCATGCACCGCTGTGCACCTGCTGGTCGGGCTCGAGAGAGTGCCCGTAAGGCACAACGGAACGAGTTAGTTCCTTAAGAACGACCGGTGAGCGCCCCTCTACCATTGTATATTCCCGATCGAAACCAACAGGACAGCGGGCCCGTGGTCCGGTGGTTAGAGTCGTGAACTTCTAACTAACATGTCGCGAGTTCGAGCCCCAGGGGTTCCACGCATTGCAGTTGGGTATGACTGGAATGGACACACACCGATCTATTGGCTTCATGAAGCCGACAAGCTCTATATGGGTGGCAGTGATCACGGACAGGCAACAGTTTACCTGGCCGAGGTCGGCCAAGTCATAAAAGCAACGAGAAGGGACGACAGAAATGCGGGTAGATTGACACAGTTTTGTTTCGGGCTTACTTCCTCTTCATTCAGCCAATCATATCCCTGACCAGGAGCTGTGACCTGAAACACAAACATATGCGCATGTTTTGTGTTCCTGGTCCCGGCTGTTGGTCAGGGTTATGAGCTACTGAATGAAGCCAGAAACAGTACTGTATCAATCTACCCGCATACTCTGTCGTTCCTCCTAGCTGCTAATAAGCCAGAAATGGCCATTCCAGTCTCCCTTGTCTTTGTCGGTAATGCCATTCTGCCTACATATTTTCGTATATGGCACAGTTCATAAAATGATCAGGTAGTGTCTCTATTGGGAAAACGTTTTTATCAAAGTAAAATGGTACATCAAAATGAATGTTAGTTAATTATGTGCGACAACATTCCGTTGGATCCAGCCGAGCACGGGTGGAGTCAGCGCAAACACTGTGAATTCCCCAGAGCAGTTTTTGCCGGTGTAGGAAGCTACGCCGTAGACAACCCACTTGCCACCTTCTGTTAAACAGTGCAGTCCTCCTCCGCTGTCGCCCGTACAGGCAGCCTGGATGACACGAAAAGCAAATTATTTGGTTTAATACACTTAATCTATGTGCCCTGTAAAAGTGAATCTTACCCCAAATTTGCCGTCAATGCAGACATGCTTTCTTTTTTTAGCCAGCCGATGTCTTTTCTGGCAGTCAGACATTTTTGCTATTTGGCCTCGTACTTCCATCAACACTTCCGGCTGGTTAGGATTCGGTGGGTTGGGTGGGTTTGGAATCAGTCCCCATCCGGCAAAGTAGCAGAACTTTCCAACCTCGATTTCCAATCCGGATTCCGCAAGACATGCGAATTCCGCCACCTTTGCTATGACGATAAAAAAAGTTGAATTGCCAGTTTTGATGCCACATGCATGAGGTCGTTTAAAAAAAAAGCCCCATAGTATTAAAGGCTCAAGACAGCTCAGACGTTTAATGACCCTTCCAGAATAAGGAGATGTGCCTTCCGATTCTCTCCCACACCACTGATCACAGACTAGGGTATTGCGTGTGTAGGATGCAGGCACCATGTCAGCATTTATAAAGCATAATTAGCAACTCCCGCAGTCGTCCCACGATGGCTGTACAATCATGTCTCCAAGTTATGTTGATTTACATGCTTACAGTAATGACGATTAGGGTAAAGTGCAATTTAATATAAATGCAGCCGCCAAAACTAACACAGTTCTTTTTAAAGTTTCCGAAATCAATTGTATATGGCAGATTAAGCCATTCGTTCTGGAGATACCCTTAATTCGTAGCTGTTAGTGTCAAAAAGTAGCCCTGCTGAGAGAGAGCACACACTTTGTTTAAATAAAGTTAGTCTGCACGACATAAAACTGGAGCTGCTGCAACAAAACTCAAACTTTATGGCCGGACATACATCGTTTGACCTCATGGTTCAGCTTCAGTAAAGCAAAGTCATAGCCTTCCCTAACATCTCCAAGTTCGTATTGCGGATGCATGATGATGTGCTTTACTCGAAGGTTGAATGCTGGACGTCCACGCCGTGTGCGATTGTGGTCTCCTATGCGAACGACCATTTCATCGTCGACGAACTCATCGAAAGAAAAGGGTCGATCGAGTGGAATTTCTTTACATCGAAGAGCCCCAGTGATACAGTGAGCGGCCGTCAATACCCATGTTGGCGAAATGAGTGTCCCTCCGCAAAATGGATAGGACCCAATCGTTGAAGCATACACGCCAACCTATTGAAAATAAAAAAAACGATATTAGCTTTAGTAATTGTCTTCAGATTTTAAAATCGTCAGTTGATCGCACATTCCATATGTATTGAATAGATTATGACGGTTTCCCGTGGCGGGGGTCAGTGCAGACTGCCAAGTGCTTCCCAAAAATTTAATCATTACGGCAACGGGCAGATATCGTGGTTTTGCAATGTGCCCATATTAATCGTGTTGATTTCTGCGCAGGAAGATCTGTGCTTTTCATCAAACGTTGGATAATTAACAAAAAGTTGTGCACACACTAGACAACATACAAGTGCAACCTGACATATCTGTCGACTTACTTGCCAAGGCCAACTATTTTTTACAACTTCTATCTTTTGACGTAGAGGATATGCCGACGGCTCGCGTAGTTGCGGGCGATTTCCGCAATTCTCAGGCAGTCCGTTGATCAGACGTTCTTCTTTAGCTAGTGTGGGATGATATTTATGGATGGTCATTCAATGAAGTGAAGCCATTGTAACAAAGCAAAAATTACATAATAATGGACTGGTGTAAATTTCAAAAAACGTCGGCAACATTATAAGAGAAGGACCCCACTTAACTGACGACAGACTGTGGATCACGTCATAGGATCACGTCATATCTTGGAATTCATTCGCAGGCCTTTGCAGGCATTACACTACCAATAACAATCACTTCCCATGACTTCAAACCATCCCTTAAACTGCGTTATTTACTTTGAAATTTACTCTTTGTTTATTTTTTATTACCGCGTTCATTTGCGCTGCCGTACGAAAGCGTACGATGTGTCTTTTAGGAGAAATCAGAGCAATTTCTATGTTTTCCTGCTTGTCGTCAGCTTACTCTCTAGTGCGCTGCCCACCAGTAAAACTATCCCTACCGTCAATAACGTATGAAACGATCCACAGTCTACCGACAGTAAAGTAGGGTATTTCTCCGTACCGTTGGCAAAATGTCGTCTCTAAGAAACACTATTTGTAAAGATTATATTGTTGGCATTACAACTTAAAGCTAGAAAAAATAACAATGAGCATTTACGAAACGTGTATTTGTTATTTTATTATATAAGTTAATACCTAGTGTGCTGTTAATCAAAGTGAAGCACGCTGCGTAGATGTACACCACAAGCCTCATCTCACAGTGTTCCGATAGCCCCCCAAATTCTGTAAAAATCGCGGTACTCCCTCTGCTTAAATACTATTAAATTTAGGTGTTCAGATAACATTTAGCGGACCAATGGCAAATAACGAAAACACGATCTGTTTGTCATGAAAAAAGGAAAAAGATAATTCCCACGATAGTTTTCCACGTTATTTGATGTAATCTCATGCCATTGTTGCAAAATAGACGGTATGGAAATGCCTTAAGTGGAAAAAGGATTTACATTCGGCAGTTCTGTTAAATGTACCGGGACCCAACCTCCTCAAAACCGGAGCTTGTTTTCGGAGAAGAGATCGTATCTAACAGAAATTTCAAAATTACCAAATGATTTCAGGTGCGCGGGTTAAATTAAGAGTAAAGCGCGCACTCAGAAATACGTGAAAAGCGTGACTACTCATATATCATGTAAAATAAACCAGACGTAGTGGACTTTTCGGTATCGAAATGCGTGCTGGAATAATGTGACATCCGAAGGAGCAAAGAAGCATGTGTAATTTGATGGGAATGACTTAAGGGTAAGGTGGTTCCATACTAACAGCACAGGTACCAGCCAAAAGTCCATAAACGCGTGTTTCGCCGATATTCTGCCGCTGCATGCCAGAGCTATCAGGTGTCGGCTCGTCAGTGGGTCCCCAGCATTCCCTGTCTGCTTTCTGGTAGATACTCCAATTAAGAAATTTTTGCTTTTTAATTTCCTTAAAAATTAACTGCGAACCTAGAGTAGATCAGTATATTTAAGGTCTATGGACTCAGACCTATGTTTTTATGCATGCATATTTGGGGCGAAGTCCATCAGTCACAGCGGATAACCGCGTAATATTCATTAACTGCCGACAGGCAGCTAGTAGTATACTTTAGGGTAAGGTGATTCCATACTAACAGCACAGGTACTAGCTGTTGATGATGAAGAAGATTGAGATGATCAATTGTGGACAGCTGAACTGCTGTAAATTTTACTTAACCGCCTAGCCTGTTCCATTAAATGCACTTTATGCATGCAAAATATTTTTATACAAATATTTGTTAGTCATAATGAGTGCATATTTGGGAAAAAATTCCCATTACTCTGTATTTTTGGGGTTCCCTTGTATAGGTTTGCGTGACTGCGCATGTTTTCTATGAAAAGCGATTAATTTAAACGCGATAGGTTTAAAAAACGAACCTACCACAATTGAACGTTAGTTTCTTTTCGCCGAACAATTCAGATGAAGTACGGTGTAAGCTGCTGGGTATTTTTTTAGAAAACCAGAGGTTTTATCGACTTTGAAGCAGCCTGACTTGCAATTCTATGTAATTTTATGTCCTAGTACGCGACGATAAGGCCTACTAGCTATTCATCCCTATGAGCAACAAGGTTTGTATGTGTCTGTTGTCATACTTAGCGAATCATGGCTCTCGCAGCTTGGTGTGTACTGCCTTGTCTATGGCGCCTGGTTGCTTACCGGTAAACACGCTTGCGCTCCCTAGGGGAAACAGGTCGTTTGCACGAGTGCCCAGTCATCCTCCTCTCTCAGACCCGTTGTTGTGCTGTTAGTAGGAATCTTGGTCAAGTGTTTATTGTGGACAAGGGGTGTGGTGCCCAAGGTGCGCGCCCGAGCATGCCAGCTACAGTGCGTGACCGATCTCATGAAATGTTGGCCGAAATTTTCAAATGCGTTTTCGATTAGGAAGGATTACCTAGGTAGAATTATAATATTGATTAGCATGCGACATAATCCTACAATATTTCAGACCCGTCAGGATGTCGGCTATTGAATGCACTTCTTTTCGACCGCCTGCAGAAGGCCACATTCAGCAAAAAATGACTATTATGTAGCATGCATTTTCCACTTTGATTTCCGACGTTCTTATAAATTTAAGTATATTTTGCAGAAAACATGCGCAAAATATGCTTTCTTGTACAGGTTTGATACGAACTAAAGTTAGTGACCTAACTCAGGAAATTTGTCGAAATTTACGAATGATTACCAATCCCTCGCAAACCGGCACCATTTCATGAGTCCGATTTCTATGTTAATTAAGTACAAGTTGAAAAGAATTAGAAACATAAAAGAAATATTAAAGGCAGTGTTGGGTTGTTTAGAAATGTCGATTTATTTTGAAAAGCGCAAAATCCCGAAAACGTCAGAAATGACCATAATTAAGGAGACATCGTTTTTAGATGTATAGAATGTATTCTCATACCAAAAACGCAGTAAATATTGAATTAGACATAAAATAACGTCTAGTAAGTGTTTTAGTGAAGCTTACATCTAAATATCGTTTAATAAGTGCTGTGATTTCATATATGACGGTTTGTCAACTGCTTACATTTTGAGTGTAGATTCCAAAACAGTATTCCATTGATTCCTTTTTAATTGTATTTCTTTGATGTAAATGAGATGGGATTCATCAAAAGAAACTGGATTTTGCTTGATTTAACCGATTGGGACTTCGTTGAAACAGGGGTTTTCATAAGGTAACATGCCATGAGGCCGGTCGGTGCTTAATAAATTTAAATAGAACTTACAGGCTTAGTCGTAAACATACCATTTTCTGTTTCTAGAGAGAACTTTTCTTCCGTTAAATTAATGCATACTTTTCGTTCGTTTTAGATTACGCTGAGTTTCAGATCGGCCTCGGAATATTGCTGAATACTTCATGATTTTCAGTGTTTTCACCCGATCTTCCATAAAGACTGATTCTGAATTACCTGTCTGTTGAGAACATTAATATAAGATTATTCCTAAAGGCATTTACCGAATTAATGAGTGTTCGGGCGCATTTTTTCTCGAAGATGGTCGTTTGGGTCACATGTGAAGACTCAATCAAACATCAAACTTCATTTTCGAGATAAATGGCTGTCCATAACGAAAGTCAGCGACGAATATGCCTTCAAACAATATGAAAACTTTCCTTAATAAGTTACCTCTTTAGGAGGTGCTTTATTAATGCACTCCGTTCACAGATCTCTGTACACTTTGCATTTATGTACCGGAATGTACTCTTTCTGCGAGTATAAAACATGAAGATTAGGCGCTTTTTTACCAGAAGAATAAAAGAAAGCATATTTTTATGCATGATTTCTATAAAATATATTCGAATTTATAGGACCATCGAAAATCAATGTGAAAAATGCATGCTTTATAAGCAGTCATTTTTTACCGATTGTGGTTTCTGTAGAAGGTCCAAAAGAAGTGCATTCAAAAGGCGACATCCTGGCAAGTCCGAAATACCATAGGATTATGTCTAATGATGAGCAATATTACAATCCATGCTAAGTAATTCTTCCTAATCGAGAACGCTTTTCAGAATTTCAGCCAACATTTTATGAGATCGGTCACACACTGCCATTGCCCACCTTCGGTCTTATTAACTATGTCTTGAAACCGGACCCAGGGGTGGTTGGAGGAGAGAGTGAGGTAGATTTTGAGCAAGTCTGCCCTAAGTATAAACTAATTTAGGTGCAAGTCACCGGTCCTGCTTTATCTTGTTTCGGAGCGCACGTTGGACATCGTCGGACATGGCAGTAAAACTGTTGTGTGTTTGATGAAATTTAAGAAACACGATGACTGATCCGCAGATGTTTAGGCGTAGTGCCATGGACTAACTTC